GTTTGAATATATTCGTTCATCATTACAGTTAAAAGTTTTGGTATGTTTTTATTCAAGTAACTGCTATTTCTAAGAAATTAACCATAATGAACGATTAAATTTTGCAATTATAGAACGTTGAGGAACCCTGGGTCGTAAATGTATCTAAAAATTTCAGCATATTAAAAAATGAAGTACATATGGTTAGTTATTATAACATAAATCGTTTTTTTTTATACCATTCGCTAATATAAAGAATTTAGCTTGTCTTATCATCATCAAGTGACGAAAAAATAATGTGGAAAAATATAGAAGAACAATTAAATGAAATAAAGGTTGAAGATTTAGGCTATGATCATCCGCTATGCTCTGGAATATTAGATATTAGTTCAACCCCCTTCACTAAAATGGCAAAAGATATTTGCAATCGTTTTAACGTGTTATCTGATAAATTCTCAATTCCGTTTAATAAAGCGATAATGAATACTTGTGAGAATTTTGTTCAGAAAGAAAAAGAAAAAAAAAATATCTCCGATAATAATCCTAAATCTTTTGGTAATGCGAGATATGGCGAGTTTTTGGATGGATCGAAGGAATTGCAATCAATCTCAAATCAAATGTTAGAATCATTGGCTCGGGTATGGAGATCCCCAAAATGGAACTCATATGGAGACTCTAAAAAACCAGCTATAAATGAAGGATCGTACGTATGTGAGGTTATATCACCATTGATAAATATTGTAATGAGCGATTTACCTGTAGATTCCGATACATGGGGAGTATGGTAATATCTTGTTAATAATTTTGAGATTAGTATTTTGTTTACTATACGAGCAAGGGCATTCTAACGATTTTCTTTTTTAATATAAGGGGGGAGCAGGCGAGTTCTGCTAGTGCGGAACGGAAGCGATCTTATAAGAATGCACGCAGACCAGATTATATGGTGGTTACAGAAATAAAAAATAAGAGCATTGAGATAGGATATCTTGAAACAGGTCGACCTGATTCTTCTCCCGATAAACAATTGCGCGATCACAATAAACTGAATAGATTCGCAAAAGATGCAATTGATGAAACATGGTTAGCCAAAAATGATAGATTCTTTAGAGGAACGGCAATAAAAAGCGTGTTGAATATATTTACGATTAACGTTGCTGGCGATTTTTTAGAAATACATGGCATGTGCAGGGAATCGGGCTTATATAAAAATTATTTGCTTAATCGTGTAAAAATACCCTTATATCTTCCATCTATCAAACAAGGCAATGTCTATTCTTTCATTCATGCATTGCTGACTTTTAGAACTGCGATCGCATGCACCCTGCGTAATATAATACATACAACGATTAATTCAGAGGAAATGATGTCGATATCATCACAAAGTTCTACAACATCAACTATCACCTCACCACGAAGAAAAAATTCCAGAACGTATTTTAAAAATTAATTCATGTATACCCCATGGTTTATTTTTATTTTTTGACTTATAAATAAAGCCGATTCTGGTAGTCTATTACACACATATATATATATTCGAAAAAATAAGCTAATTAACTTCTAAACATATTGAGAATATCCGATTCGATGTTATTTACCTCTAAATATCTACATAACTCTCCATAATCAAAAACCGCCTTCCTATCTTGCGTATTCCTATTAATTATAACTATGTTTTCACCTTCTATTACATGCATATACTTAACAAGATTTTTGAATTGCATATACTGCATAGGATTATCCGTGAATCTACTTTGAGTTTTTCGTCTGTTATTTCTAGATTTACGAGACATATTTGACGTATATATTAATATGATTAAACGACTTCAATTTTTTGCAAAAATGATTGTAATCCGCATTAACGACATCAAAAATTATGATCTCATAGGATCTTATTTTATTGATATAAAAATGTTGCTAAAACAACGATATATAAATAAAAAATTATATATATTGGTGGAGTTTCACATTTGATCTAACATATCGTTCAGTTTACCAGGATTTATAATAAAGTCGCCATTTTCTCTATCTTTTTCTAATTTTTCTCTCGAAAGATTTTCCCAGAATCTACCATTATCAACGTTATAGTCATCGTCTTCTAAGGAGGGATCATAGGTCATCAAATTATCTAATTTAACGTATAGGATACGCAGATATAATCCGGTAAAATGAGAGTTAGTCTTGCTAATTTCACTAATATACGAAGAGCATTTTTTAACGAAGACACCTACTAAAACTATTTTTCTTATTTTTGCGGTTGGTTTTAGATGATTTTGGTCTAGAAGATTTTTGTTTGAACGATGTTGAGTTATTAGTATTGTTAGTATTAGAATCGCTAACACTGGGAACATTAGAATCGCTAACATTGGGGGCGTTAGAATTATTAGTATTACTCATTTTGCGCTTCTAAATATAAAAATTCATAATTAGTTAGTAGAATATCACTTTCTTTTTTGTAACATAAATGCCCAATTACATTACCTTAGAAATAAGTTGCGAGTATTTTTTTAAAAAAAATATATATAGTAGCGATGTTATTGCTAACCCACCTCATAAATCCAGTTTATTTATATTATTTCATTCGCTAAATCTGAGAACCTGCTAGAAGAAAAAAATTACATGATTAGTAATTACAATACCCAAACCATTTGCCAGATCCTTTCTTCGTAAAGCAAGTCAGGTCATAAGCGCTAAGCACTAAATATATGAGCCATAGACTATATTTCGCCTTTTATGGGGAAATTAAATCTTTCAATCTGACGATCGCTTTTGTAGAATAAAAAATAAGACAAATTTTGGCGATCTCGGATCTCAAGTTCCGTAACATATGAATTTTGATATTATTACTGATAAAGAACAATAAACTCTCCTCATTCATATCCTTTTTTGAGCCTCATTCATAGTTGTTCTTATCGAAAAAGCCATATATAATAAGGAAAAGGCTTTATTATTAACATTATATATGTAACAGTAGAAAATAATTTTTAGCGGTATCACAAAAAAAAATCATTGTGAAACGAATAAATTTATTATTATATATATGTTTCTGAACAAAAAATCGTTATTACTATTTTTTTCATATCGAATATTAATATTAATATTAAATATGTTTACGTTTGTGTTTTCATGCGCCATCAAGCTAATTTGGCTATTATTAGAAGTTCATAGAACGTGTAAGAGGTCAGTTGATATATTTGTGCGATCATATGCAGGTATATCAAAATTGGATTAACTACACATGATTTAGATTCTTGTTAAAAATTATGCGTATTAATATATATATTTCGATTTGTTCCTATATATCAATAATTACTATAGATTATCTTCTCGTTTTACTAAAAAATGATTCAACTAGAATTTACACAAAAAATGAATCGCGTTTTAAGTAACATATACTTGATAAAATTAATAAGTCTAAAACCCTAAATACATTATAAATCACATAATCATATTCATATAATCGATAAATAAGTCATATAAAAATGGATACTATTCAGGATTTACGTGGTTCTAAATGTAGTGAAGAAGAATGGTCTGAATATTGCTGGATGCCACAAGTTCGCACTAATGAAACTCCTAGCGAGTGGAAAGAACGAATCTGGGATCGCTTACAGTATTTTAGAGAAAATGTTCTTTTACCTTATGAGAGTAGAGATTATTTTAAAGCGAGAAAATTAATACAATTTTCAGATGGTAATTCATATGCTCCTTGTATAGGAATTGTTATTTGTTTATCTTGTAACCAATTAGTACATACTGGAGAGTATATTAAAAGAATGGAGAGACACTGGAAATTTTCATGTACCGGTAATAAATATTGTAGAATAAATTATGAGGAATATATGAAAATTAAACAAAAACCTGAATCTGAACGTAATTTCGATGATAACACTGCATTAAATTATTATGAGCTGTGGAAATGTAATGCAATCAGTAGAATCGAACATGCAAGGGAGGTTGGAAAAAAGATCTGAGCATGTACCATCATACAAAAAAAATTTATAGAATATTATTATCGCCCTGATGGAGATTGTGCTACAGAGTTGGCTAATCATTATAAAATATTACGGAGCATTCGAGAAGAAATGCGTCAGGTTAATAGTGTATAGATGGTTTGTGAAATAAATATTTATCTATTTATTAATGTATAACTTATTTATCTATTTATTAATGTATAACTTATTTATATATAATTTATTATCTGAGGTATTCCCGAGGGTTAACACTTTAGACTTTTATGAAAAAACTCTCGCGTCTATGAAGGCGGATGCTACTCATTAAATTTCAAAACATGATCCCAACCTTTGCGTATATATAGAGGATCCTCCTTTGATCTGGTTAAATCAATTACTATAAATTCCCGGCCTTGCAAATTTTTATCGAGTATGTCAACAGCATTACGCCAGTTTTTTGTATATCGTCGGGCAATATTAACTAATTCATCATATGTACCTGCACCATTAAAAATAACGATATAATCCAAATTTTTTCTTATCAATCCTGGACAATCAAAAAAGCTTTGTGTTGTATATATATTACTAATATTATTATGACGCCCCTCAGTGAAATAACGAGCAATTTTTTCTTGTATTTTTTTAGGTTCGGTACATACATCTTCGAATAAAGCCAGTGTTCCTCTTTCTGGAGAAAAATCATCAACCTTTGGCATTTTATCAGGCTTCATTGCTCGAAATGTAATATCTTCACGATATGGGTTTGGACTATTTGCAATTATTTGATAACAATTTCGAAGGTATTTATATTTTGGCTCTTTAAGATGATGTCCGATTAAAACTAAATCATCATTTTTAATATACCTCGTTCCACCTTTTTTTCTGCTAAACATTCAATACGGTTTATTTCCAAGCAAAATATTAACAATCATATAAGTTTTTCCTGATCTGGTTCGTCCAGATACTAGCATATTGAAAGGCCATTGGGGGGTTGAATTTAATCCATTAAATCTTTCTGGATTTTTGTATTCATCGATATCAACTAGAAATAATTCGCATCGATCAAGTTTTTCAGTTTTTTTGGGCTTTTGATGCTGAGCTTTCTTCATCTCGTTTAGTAAAATTGTGAATAATCTTTATATATATATACCAGAAAAATTATTCTTTACAAGCTAAATATCCCTTTTCTTCCAATATATTTTTAATATAGGGAAATGGATCAGCCGTGTAGGGAATCTCAATAAGATCTATACCTTCTCTTTTACATAATTCTCTCTTTTTTCGATCACGTAGTTTTTGAGCTTGTAAATCGCTTTTCTGTTTATGAAACATTGTATTCTCGACATAATGATGGACTCCTTGGAATTTGAACGCCAATTTAAATTCTTCATTATATCCATCTAAGCGTAAACCATCTAGAAATTTTGGTGCACACGGTGTAAATTTTTTATCTAATAAATCCTCAAAAATATATCGACATCTACGTTCTTCTTTGAAATGAGGACAAATAGGACACCATTCAAATTTCTTAGCAATTAATGGATATGGATATTCGAATTGATGAAGCCCACAAGACCAGAGAAATACTTCCTCATCATTAATTCGACCGGTTTTTTCAAGACAACTTCCATGTTTCTTAGCATAGGTACAAGCTTGATCTAGATCATTATTTAAAACCAGAATAAAATGAACTAATCGGGGATGATTCTTTTCCGATAATATACTTTGGGGTGGGTATTGAAGCTTTTCTAAATCTACTTGGAAAAGTTCCTCTTTCACAAATCCACGCTTTGGTGAAAATTCATTGCCTTCAAGATAGTATAATACAGGTTCATTTTCCGTTACTATAATTTTTCAGATTTTATGAATAGATGGTGAAAATGTTGGATCCGTGGCTCTTTTCTGATTCTCCATACCTCCTTCCCATTCTCCATTGGCAAGTAAGTAACGAACTGTATCGCCCTTTTCTAACTTTTTTTCATCTCTTCCAACCAGACGTTTATATTTCGTAGATGGTCTAGATTCAACCTTTTCTAACTTAATTGCTTTTATAGGCGCTAATCCCCATTTCTTCGACCCAGGAGCTTTAATAAGTCGAGTTGGATAATTATTTAGGTAATTGATAACTTCCGGTAAATACTTAACCCACTCTCTTATTAATTTAGGATTTGAGGATATAGTTTCAACGGCATATTGTACTTTATAAAGCATTTTTGCAAGAGTTTTATTAAATCTTTCCACGACTGCGAGTCTTCGATGGGAATATAGACCAATTACTCGGATTATAACATTATGTTCTTGCATTAATCTTGAAGTTTCGCCCATAAATTCGCACCCTCCATCACATTGTAGTAACCAAGGCCAAATAAGAGGATTATCCGGATTATTATAAATTTTCTTAAAGGCTTTGGCAACTTCTGAACTATTTTTGGAAGTGAGCGGAATGGCGTATTTAAATCTACTGGCGATATCTACAATAGTAAGTACCCATTTATATATTTTTCTATCTACTATATCATTGGTAAGACGTAAAAGGTCGCACTGATGTACGTAATTTGGGCAAGTAATTTTACCATAACTAACTCGCGGAATATATTTTGGTGACGGTGCATGTTTCTGCCATTCATTCTGATTCATAAGCCAATCACGCACTTTTTTGAATGGAAATCGATATCCTTCTGTTTTTAGATCTCTATATAATAATCGAGAATTGGAATGATAACCGGTAGTTTGATAATAAAGCAATCTACAGACTAGATCTAACTCTTCATCTGGATCGACTCTAATAATAGGTTTATTCATTTTCGGTGTAAGTTAGTTAACGTAAATGATTAATGAATTTTACTATGTAACTATAGTTTAAGGACAAAAAATGGATTATAAATTCGATCCAGCATATTTACAACTGTTAGACACCAACCGGGAATTACGGCAAGAGATAAATGATGAAGTGAATAATAATAATACAAATGAAAAAAAAATCCGGCATCTCATAAAAGAGTTAGAGCAATGTAATAGGACCGTTTTTCATCAAGATTCTACTATTGTATACTATGAATCAGAGATACAGGAACTTAAATTCCGGATTTCCAATCTTGAAAAGCGTCTACAGAAGGCATTAGTAGATATTGAGCATAAAGAGGATTCGTTGGTTATATCAGATAGTAGAATAAATGAACTTCAGGAAGAAATAAATACTCTCAAAAATAGAATTCGAGATTTGACGTCGCGAAAAAATAAAAAACTTTCCATGTCTCAAGTATCTAATATGAATGAGACCAGAACCATTGTCGAATCAGTTCGAAACGCATTCAATAATATTGATTCCGTATTACGAAGAATACCAGGTCTCCCACGAAATATTGAGAGTGAATTTACTGATATTAAAAATGCCGTGACTAGACTTCAAGGTGTAGCTAATAGGGAAAAAAATCGAGCGGATCAGATTCAAGTCCAAGTAGCTAGACTACGGAGAGAAATTAAAGCATCTGAGGATGAAAATGCATTATCACTCATGGCGTATAACAATGAAAAAGAAGCACGCCGTAGTTGGTATTTCTCATATAAAGATAAACATAGGCGAGTTGGAGAAATGATACGAGAGAAATTTGCATATAAATTTTTAATCCGCCATTATGCAAAAAAGTTAAAGGAGTGTCAGGATCACGGTAAAGCTCTCAATTTCAAACTCAATTCCATAGAAAAAGCAAAAAATAAACAGTTATTGCAAAAACATCTATCTGAATGGGAGTATAAAACACGAGAAGCAAAAGGTTTAACGATTAAAGTTCCAATGCCTAATTCACCTGATTTCTCGTCATCTTTTTACTCAGATTCTAGCGATACTGGAAGTCTAACAGGAGGTATGCGCCAAAAATTTGATACAATCCATAG